AAATTAAAATATTTTTTTTAAAAAAAGGATCGTCTCTTTAAAAAAAAGTCCTTTAATGATGGTATGATATTTTTTTGAAGCAGTTACTTTGAAATGTTAACGAAAGTAAAGAATGCGACCTATGCGTTTAATTTTTCATTTAACGCATAGAAAATTGTTTATTCTTACTTTTCACTTAACCATTTGACGAAGAATTTTTATTAAACAATATTTTTCTTACTTTTTTCATTATTTTAGGTCTAAGTAAGTGAGACATACTATATTTGTAGCATTTTAATGATATATGGTTATGAAATACAGTAAATAGAGCATGAAACATCTGTGTCTTTTTCTCTGTTAAAGGTAAAATCTTCCAAACAATAATTTTTCAAATTTGCAGTTATTTAGATCTAAGAGAAATAGTTATTCATCCCTGAAATTTCTTGATTTCAAAATTTTCAAAGTACTTTTTTTAAAATTTTATATTCTAGTACAAATATCTTTCCGATTATCTAACAGATTTTTTTAGAAACTGTTGAACTCTTTTTCATAATAAAAAAATACCAAAATATATTTTTGTTTGTAATCAGAGCGTCAGAAAAAAAAATCTAAAAGAAAAACCGGTGTCCTATCTGCGTCATAGGGTTGATTGATTTTGTCTGTTACTTTTCAAAATGCTTTTATTTCCTTTTCAAAAAAAATTTTTTTTCTTCAAAAAAATATTTTTATTGTTTATGTCTTTATTTGTGTTACTTTATAAATACTACATGACAAATGTTGAAAAGAAATTTTCAACCCTAGCACCATCCTAGGGTGCTTTATGAAATTCCACTTCATACTCAATCTCATCTGGTTCACTTTCAACTTGAGCTCCGAATGTTTATTCTTTGTTGAAAGCACACCTGTATTGAAGTTCAACATTATTTTAGATTAAAAGCCTCTTTTATTGGTAATTTTATGGGTGTCCATTTATGTTTTCAATGGTAGGTGATCTCACTGTAAACATGTTTATCAACCGTTATAGAAAGAAAAAAGCAATTCTTTTTAATTGTACATGCTAGAAAAAAATTTCATGCGCACCGAGTCATTTTAAAAGATACTTGAGAGTTAAACTTGAAAGTAATATAAATCTTAAAACTAAGCAGGTGTGTAAATATACATCATATTCACGACTTCAATTTATCGTAAAATTCTTTATTTTGTATATTGCGATTGCTACAAGGAAAACTTTATACGCAACAATTTCTACTAGGACGGAATACCTCGATTCAAGGACTTCCTCATTTCTTTTAATTTTTTTTTATTACTGAAGCGTTTTCGAAACTTTAATAAGTATATTCGTGCTATAGTGCTTACCAAATTGCAGCCTCACTTCCTTTTTCTTAGCTTTCTTTTTAAGGTTAATTATTAAATTAAATAAACCTGAATTACTATTTCAATTAGAAAGAGGAGAAACTTTTCTACTTATAATAATTTCGCATTAGAATCGATATATAAAGCGTTCAAATATGGTACATAAAGTGGTCATATTTATAAACCATGATTTGAGAACAAATCAGCTGAGCATCTTCGATAAATTTTGTAATTTGAGGACACCTATATATTTATGAAAAATATGAATTTATGTATGCAACAATTATGTTTTTTTTTTTTTTTTCTTTTGAATTGATAATATTCAGTTTATTGCAGTTTTGAATATTTAGTATGATTGCAGTTTCGATATATAATATTCTGCATTTGAACACACGTCAAATGAATGAGACCAAGATTAATAAAACTTGTTTAATTTTTGAAGAAATTACTTTAAGACGAGTATGATGGCGATTTCATCTGTTAGTTTTTGTACGATGCTTTTTTGCTTTTCGTTTGTATTCTTTGTACGACAAAACTTATCAACTATTGTTTGAATAAATAAAAAAATATTAGCATTTTTTTAAATATTTTATTGTATATGTAAAAAAAATTATATTGTCTCAGAGAATTCCGAGGGCATTTGAGTGCACATGTTTGGGGAAATTTCCTGTGCTCGAAAAGGAAAGTATTTGAGTACAATCAATGAAATTCGAGGACTTGCCTCATGATTTAAGTACGTTTGGTCTGCTCTGCCACAAAATTATAGCCTCAAAGGTTAATTAATTAACAATAGGTTATAATTAATTTTATAATACTGTTATTTTTATTAGTTGCTGTGAAGTTCAGCTTTTTACATTATTTTACGCTTTTATTATTTTTGCCGTTAAGTATATGAAGTTGAAAAACAAGTATTACTGAATTTGGTGCAGAATAGAGATAACATCGATAAAAAGGCCTTATTTCTTTAAAATTAAAGAAAGTTTCGGTGAGGCTATTATTTTGTGGAGCGTTAGACTTGTTTTCATTGAAAATGTTTGGACCCTGTAATATAAGTTTTAAGTTAGGTTCATTTATGAATAACTGAAGTTTTTAAAATTATTTTATTAGTTAGCTGAAAATCAATTCTCTAAGCTAACCCTTTTTCATATCATGGTACCCGATCTTAGTTTTTTCCCCTTCTTTTTTCATTTATGTAATTTATTCTTAACCAAATACTAAACACATCGTAACTTTGTGGGGAAAAAATAGTTAAAATGTGGAAAAAAATAATCATAAAAACAAGTACTTTTTTGCGCTTCTATCATATATTTATAAACAAAGCGATACGGGTTTGCATGCGTTTAAATTTTTAGGAACTGCAGTGACTTCTAGAAATTTAAACATGTTGACTCTGGCTGATGTATTTATCATGTTATTATAAAATTTAGTTAATGAAAAATTCCACTCATCCTGCTAATCTTAACATTTCTTGATTTTTTTAAAAAACAAAATAAGTTTTTATGAAACCTAATGTTTCTAAATTGTTTCCAAGTACTTGGGTATTTAATTTATATCTTCAAATACTTAATTTTTTTATTAATTATGAGCAATAGGTTTTTAAGGAATATTTCTTTTACATCCTTCATTAAATTCATTACGGATAGTACTTTTCTAGCAAGTTCTCTCTTTTTTTTCTTATTATTAGCATAAAATTTGTAAAAATATGATTAAAAGAAAAACTTTTAATTAATAATAATTTTAAGGGAAAAAAATTTTTTTGCCTCCATCGTAGAATCTATATATTTTTTTTTGTTAATAAAAGGTAGTGTTTAATAAATACATTGATTAAAAATTTGTAAAGAATGCTTCATTATTACGCCTTCTACTCTAGCCACTGCAATGACTCCTAGAACTTTAAACATATTTCCTCTGGTTGATGTATTTATCCCGTTATCATAAAATTTATTTAATCGAAAATTTCACTCATCGTGCTAGTCTTAACATCTCTTTTTTTTAAAAAAGTTTTTGTGAAACCTAATGTATTTAAATTGTTTTCAAGCACTCGGGTACTCAAATCATAGCTTCAAATACTTACATATTTTTATTATCATTAAGCCACAGGTTTTTAAGCAATGATTCTTCATTGAATCCATTACAGATAGTATTTTTCACCATTTTTATAACATGTTCTCCCCTTTTTTTTATTACGATCATATTAATTCATATGAAATTTTTATAAATATGATTAAGAAAAGACTTTTAATTAATAAAAATGGGAAAAAAGATGTTTATTTCATAGAATCCATTATGAAAACTATTATTTAGTATTTCATCTTGTTTTTGTTGTTAATAAAAGGCAGTGTTTAATAAATACGTTGATTAAAAATTCGTAAAGAATGTTTCCTTATTACGCCTTTTACTTTCGCCACTGTCAGTTTCGTTTTTTAATGGTTTCGGTTTGCATAGAGCTAATATCCCCTCTCCATATTCCCTCTGACTCCACCCCTGAAATCCCGAAAAGCCAATAGTCCTCCGCCGGTGGAGTTTCCATTGCAGGGATGCCCAAGACGTGTGCGCTATGGAGAAAGCACCCTTCTCACCTCCGGATGATTGCCGGATCCGGCACAAACATACGGCCATATTGGTGCTCCTTTATTCGTCCGTCGTGGAATCTGGAAAAGCGTTGCTATGTTTATCTTTCTTAAAATTATCGCCATTGACTACATTACCTCTTTAACATGTCAACATCTTGAAAGTTCGGTCATCACCGACTGGTTTCTGATGTGTCGAATATCTTAGTCGAATTTTCTCTGGAAATTGCTTTCTTACCTTGTCACTCTATGTATTTAGTTCTTACGAAAGCTTCGGAAAGATTTTTCAAATGCTTTTTATAAAAATGGCAGTTCTCGCATCATTCTGAATTTTGCTATATTACTTTCGAAATTTCGTTTCGGGAATAGTTCTGTGCAATGCCTAATGTGTCAAAGGCACTCATTTCTGTTGTTATTGAAGTTGCAAGTTTTCTGCTCTTAATAGGTGATGTTATAACTCACATTAAATATAATTTATTGTTGACTTTGTCCAAATGTTAGTGTGAAATTTTATAACTATTTAAATCTCGTCTTCCAATTAGCTTTTTGGCTCGATGTTTGTTTAATTATGAGTGCAATGAACTTCAAGTGCTTTTAATGCAAAAATTCGTCTTAAAGGAAAATACTTTTAAGACTACTGAGACATTTTTGTTGATATAGATTTTAATTTAAAAGAGAGAGAGATAGGAAATCGAATGCACTGTCTTCCGTATAAGAAGTTGTACCGGTAAAGTACCGATTCTCATTAAATGTTGCTGATTGCTTTTTCTTTATATATATAACTCGCTGTCATTAAGTGTTATAGTCGCTGTAAAGTTAATAGATTTATGTCAAAATGTTAAACGATGTTTATTCCTTTGACGCATTTTGATTCTCGTGGAAGTGTATTTAAATGATACTAGATATTTAATTTGTTATAAATAAACTGTCTCAAAGCTTTTGAAAAAGTACTCTTGGTGTACTCCTTTTTTTTATTGATCTCCAAGATTGTGACTTTAAATTTGAAATTGTTTTAAGAGAACTTCCAATTGCTATTTCTAGTGTGATATATTTTGCAAAATACTTGATGCTTAACTAAACTTTTAAGCGATTTATACCTCATATTCATAACATGTGACTTGTGAAGCCATGAAATGAATTTGTAAAAACTGAACACTTAATACCGACGAAGTCTTCCATTCTGTCGCCTTACGAAAAAAATATATATATTTCGTGCTATTACAGATGCCTTCAAGTTTAACATATCTTTAGCTCAAGACAAGTCTTCCATTTCTGCTAAAAAGAACAATTTCGAAAGTGATAGAAAAGGTTGTTATAAACTGGTAGCTAATCGTAATTCGAATTCTGAGGACCAAGTTCGTATCGCTTTCAAGCTTTGCTAATTTTAGATTTTAAATAACATTTACAGTTAGTAGTAATATTTGTCTTCCATCTTCGGAAATAGAGTATTTTCTGCTTTTATGAACAATTTTGACATGAAGACTTCAAAAAAGCAGCTGCAGCACACTGGAACTCATGCCATTGAATCGAGTTCCATTGGCGAAAGCTCCTCCACCCCCAGCAGATCATCTAGGGCTCGTAATGTAGGTCCCGTTGACAATAAGCTTTTATTTGAGAGATTGTGGAAAGGCACTTTTCGTGCTATCGTTGAGGCAAGTTTACAGTCCCGAGATAAAGAAAGCACAATTGCTTTAGCCCGCAGGAGCACGTTAAAGAGTGTGATCAGGTGAGTTCAATTTAATGAGTTCAAAAAGTTTTTTTCTCTTTCGTATCTTTATTTTAAAACAAGTAAATAAGTATTCTTTTATTCGAGTTACAGTAATGAAACCTTTACTACAAAAGAAGGAAAAAAAAAACAGCATTTTTCTTTTAAATAGTCAAAAGCTTTCAAGCAGACATTTTCCTTAAAGCTGAAGAGAAATACCCTTTTTTTTTTAAAAGAAATATATATATTTCTTTATGCAAATTGCAGTAATTAAACCTTTACCTTAAAACAAACAAGGTATTGATTTAAATACTTTTCTTTCAAATTTGCTTAAAATCTTCCATCTGTAAGTGCACCAAAACAAGCATTTTCCCTATAATAGGAAAAAAGTTCCTTCAGGAAAATCCCTTTAAAATGATTTAAAAAAAGGTCTTCTTTATACAAATTGTAGTAATGAATCCTTTATTGCGAATTTTTTTTCTTCTCTTTTAATATAGCTAAAAACATATCTCATAGAAGTGTTCCAAAACAGATAGTTTCTCTAAAGTCAGAAATTATATATATATATATATATATATATATAATGTCTTATGTGGCTTGTTAAAGGACTCACAATTTTTTGCTCAAAATTGCTAAAAATCTCTTCTTATAAATGAGAAGCCACAACCGACATTTTCCTCTAAGTTGGAAATATTTTGCTTCGAAAAATTTTATTGGTGAAGTGGGAAATCGTAAGTATTTGTAAGTTTATAATATTGTATTCGTTATAATATTGCAATCGTTATAGTATAGTAATCATACTGGATTTGATTCAAGGTAAATCAAATAAGGATGATTGTGAATCCTAAGTTACTAAAGATTCGTTAAAAAAATTATTTTTGTAACAAAAGAAGGAAATCGTCAGTTTTAGTTACGGTTGCTGTTAGCTGTTATTATTCAGTTTATTTCAGTCGGGGGTAATCTTCGAGATAAATTAATGTAATTAATTTAGATAAATTAATTAAAGTTTATTTTAAGCTAAATCAGGTTATTTTTATATCAAATTATAGGAAGAATAAGTTTTTTGTTCCAAATGACTTGACTGTTATATATAATTGTTACTTCTGAAGTGATAAATTATGCTTCAAAACTAGTAAAAATGTATGTAAATATCAAAAAAAAATTATTGTGGTAAAAGAACGAACGCTTATTAGTAAAAAAGTTATATTATCTATTTTATTTCAGTCCTTGAAAAAAAAAACGATACACATAATTTTATTTATCTTGATTATTATTTTAAAATTTGTTTAGCCAATGTTAATGTAAAAAGAAAAAAAAAAGCATTTTTGTTGTTTTGGTTTTCATTACCTTTAATTGAAATTCAGCACACGAATATCTAAAAAGGCTAAGCGATATGAAAATAGTTTTTTAAAGCTATTACTTATATTTATTTTTAATTATTACTTTTATTTCTATACTATTTGTTAATATCTTTCAAACTTCTAATTTGTATTTTCCGATAATAAGAAGCTTTTAAATTGTTTCCTTTGAATTTCCATGCAATAATTTAATCATTCAGTACTGGTACGATATTGAGATAATTATACTAATCTCAGGTATTTATATTTGTATAATTTAATTATGACTTTATTCTTATTCGACTGTTTGAATCATAGATGTTTTTACAATTTAATTTCGAGTTTTCTATTTTGCAGATTGCAGGTATCTATTATTTATGCAATTAAATTGTAATTTCATTCATAATGCGATTTCATTTTTAATTTGTTGGTCAAAAATTATCCATTTAGGATTTTTTTTTAAAAAACCAACGAGTTACATTTCTCTATTTCTTTTTTACTTCTGAATTAGAAGTATTTTTTATTTATTTTTAGTAGTCGGATTTCCCAAATTTTTCTTTAACGTCAGATGGATGCAGTTCTGATAATCAAAAATCGTCTAACGAATTAAATGCTTAAAAAGGAAACACTGGCTGTCCCAATCATTTAAAATAGACCCTTTTTTTAATTTAAAAGAAAAACTTAATATTTATAGCTTGACTGTGTGCTAAAATGTTATTCTGAAGCATTATTTGTTGAGTCTTGTTTTAAATAAATTTTAATCGTGGTCATTCATAAACTTGTTTCTGTTTTTTCTCACTTTTATTTTTAAGCCTAAGTTTACATTTTTCGTTGCTCTTTCACTGTTTAATGTTCTTGCATGACTACATTTGTTTGTTGTGCCGACATTTTGGGTAAGGTAAAAGGAATAAATTAATTTTTTTGACAAGTTTAGGATGTGCACTCCCTACAAACTCTTTGTTTTCGTGTTGTGGACCTTATCGTAAATTCTATTTAACTAAGGAGGAGTTAAACTCATTTATTTTGTGTGGCTAATGTTGCCGAAAATTAGAGAAACTCTTATAGTACTCACCAAGAAACTTTTTAGAAAATATTCAATTCATTATACATTATATGATATGTGATGTAACATTGCGTACGGTATTATAAAGTTGCTTACAGTATTATATTATGATTTTTATATCTTTCAAAAATATTGGAATCGATAATTTCACTTTAACTTTAAGAATTATGTTTAGTAATTAGTAATTTAAGAATTATGTTTAGTGTGCATTCTTTTTAACATACCTCTTTAGAAATAAGATTTCGTTAATAAATTTACATATTGCTTTAAAAATAGAACCTGGTAAATAAATTTAATATTTCAGGAATAAGACTTGTTAATTATCTTTACATATCTCTTTAGAAATAATATCTGGTAATTAAACATACCTATCTTTTCAAGAATAAGACTTGGGAAATATTAGGAAAGAACATCATATATGGATTTAAAAAATAAGATTTGGTAAATAACCTAAACATCAAAACTGCATAAAATTTGATGATTTGACTTGACTCTTATATTAGGAAATTAGAATTTTTTAACGCCTAAAGCTTTCTTTCCAGAAATGTAAGGTAATAAAATTTAAAAGTTTTTTTATTTTAAATATGAAAGAAGATAAACTGATTAAATATTTCGCTTTTTCTTTGACATTAATTTATTTAAAAAAATATATATAATTCTTTTTTTTTCTTAATATATAAAAATAATTACCGAAACAGAAAAAGAAATATAATTTTTGTTTATTTTTGTTAAAAGTCATGTCATCTATTTCAAGGTGCAGATATCTTTACATCATCTATAATGCTTATTATAATAGAAGATCTATAAATTTTTACACTTTTGTTATACAGATAAAGATAACTATCTCAATATATTCAGATCAGATCGTTGCACCTTAATATTGGTAGCGTGAACTATAATTTGTTGAAACCTTGTTTCCGTTCTAATTGAACCATCGTACTGATTATTCAACTGAACTCCATATTATGGCTGCAACAAAATTAAACGATTCCACAAGCTTCAAAAATCGCACTTGGTTCATTAATTTAAAAAAATGCGAGTCGTGTCCTGTTTTATTAAATGAATTAATATCACGAATTTTTTACTTATATACAATATTTAGTATTTTATTACATCATATTAATCCGAAATTATGCTCGAAAGTTTTCTTTTTTAAATAGAGCAGAAGTGATAAAACTATGGAACGATTACAAATTGATTGAACGATTACAAATTCCACATTAGTTTTTCTTGAATTATGAGAAACATTTGTTACTGTTTGCTTTTTATTATCTTTCTCCTAAATCATTTCTTAATTCCTAATTTTACTGATTGATGTCACTGGGCAAACATACAATATCCATTAAGATAGGGCAATTTTCTGTTTACTCGTATATTGTTGCCAGAGCCGGATTATACCTTTCGTAGGCCCTAGGCATAGCCGTTTTTGGGCCCTCCCCTCCTTCCCCTACTTTTCAAAATATATGCTAAAATTTTCTTGCATATTTTTTTTTACATTTTTATTAGAACTTTATCTGCAATGTATCTTCATAATTTTGTGCAAAATACACTTGTTGTTTTAAAAGCTGAATTATTCTTGTCAACAAATTTTTTTCTCCCAAGTTTTTCGTAGGCCCCTGAATTTCGTAGGCCCTAGGTACGTGCCTAATGTGCCTATAGGTTAATCCGGCCCTGATTGTTGCGTTATTTTTTAGGCATCTGAGAGCATCTACCAAAAAAGAAAAAAATCGGCGCGTGTTTTTCAAAAATGCTTTTTATCCATTTTTGCAAGTGAATCTTTCGTTCCTAATTTATTTTTAAACAATTATGTGCCATAAATCTCTTCATCTATTTAAATACCAATATTCTGAACGAAATACTATTTGAATATCTGTAATACCCATATTCTGAAAGGAAATTTTAAAATTCCCTTTTTTCCCCCCCTTCATCGGATTCGGAGGGCCTTAACTATTCGATTCGTATGTCACTTCAACGATGTTCTTTTTATTTATCCATCTTCTGCTACAGTATACCTCTCTGTTTACTGCATCGCTCTCCTGGGTATTTTCTTTTTCCTTTCGTTCCTGCGGCATTCTTCCTGCAAACGGCCCTCTCCCTTTTTTTATTGAATCGTGTCGGTAATATCCATGGTCAGGAACGAGGGGAGGTTTAACAAAGGGGCGCAGAAAATCAAAACGATCTATCCCAGTGAGTCAGAACTTTTCCCTCCTTCCTATAATCCGGTAGCTAATTGTTTTTATCCTTCCCTTCAAACCACCCACGCGAGAGCCACTTAGCTTCTGTACCAGGAATCCGGGTGTGTGGAAATGTTTCCTTGCTTCCTGAGATTGCGGAGTAGGCTTATTAAGCTTATTTGAAATGGAATATGCTAGAAGCTCTCTAGCCTTTATTTTATATAGCCTATATTTCGGATTGTAGAATACATATATTGCGGCTGATTATATAGTTTCAGTAATAAGAAATAACTTAAATGCTTGGACAATGTAATTTCAATTATTAAAATGGCATAACCAAACTTTCAAATAAATTTAAAAACATTATTACCTGTAAGATAATTCAAAATTTTAGACCCCTTTACCCTTTATTGCAGAATGGTTCAGTGCAATGAATAAAAAGGCCAT